GGAGAAAGTTTCTGGACTGGAATCAAAATGAGTTGACTCTGGATCATGTTGAACAAACACCTGGAAAAAGAAAGAGAAAAAGAACAAAAAGAATTAAAAAATATCCAAGTCACTTGTTTAAACTATGATCTATGATCACAGATCAGATTCCTTCTCTGAAGATTGAAACAGTAAATTCAGAATGGAATAAACCTTGGAGTTCAAGTTTGAATGAAATCATTGACATTCAAATTGATTCAGCAGAGAAGATACTTGCAAAGAAACTTCTTCTCAATTTGAAAGACTCTTTAACCATGTATTCAGATGAATCACAGTCAGAAAATCTGACTACTGATGCAGGTCTTTATATTTCAGAAATAAATCAAAGATTTTCTTGAAAATTGAGCAAACATATGGAAGTGTTTGATGCTGAACTCTTTGCAATTGAAAAGGCTTTCTCCAATGCTTTGACTCTTTCAAATTCAAGAATCTTTTCAGAACTATGGGTGTTTTCAGACAGTCAAGCTGCCATTTAGAGACTCAATGCACAGAATATGTAAGCTGAACTGTTCTACATTGAATCAATTAGAAAAATTGCTAAACAACTTGAGTCTAAAGACATTAAGTGTTATCTTCACTGGATCCCAGCTCACATGGGCATCTTTGACAATCAAGAAGCTGATATTGCTGCAAAGAAAGCAACTGAATTGAGATAAGATTGTGCTGAAAAGTATGTTTTCTTTGCTTACATTAAGAGACAAATCAAGGAAATGGCAATGCTTGAATGACTGGAACACATCTTTAAAAATGGAAGTGATGTAAATCACTACTCTCAATTCAATTCAAAACCAAAGTGGAAAGCTTGTCCACTTTCATTTCCCAAACAGATTTGGTCAACAATTATTCAGTTGAAATTGGGTCATGGTTACTTTGGTTCTTACTTAATAAGACTATCAAATCATGATAGGGAAATCTGCAGACACTGTGGCTGCAAAGAAACACCAAAACATTTGCTCATGGATTGTTTAAGTCTGAAAGATGACAGACAACAGTGTTTGAAAGAGTTTAAAATTCCACAACTGTCACTTGAGTTTCTATTTAACACTGAATTGGATTTGAAATGGATGGGAAAGTTTCTCAAACAAACTGAAATAGTCACCAGAAGATGGCTTCTGAATGAAACAGACTGAGTATCTTTAAAGATCTTACTTACAATCTCATTATTTCTTTTCAAATTTCTGTGGAGAAAAGACATAAATCACTGCCCTGACACTCTTGTATGTTTTTCATTTGTTAATTTGTCTATGATCATGTCTCTGATCATTGTTTTTGTAACTTAGTTAAATTCTGCAAGACAGCTTGCAGATAGTCTTCATAGTCTCAGACTGCACAAGACTATAATGAATAATAATAATAATAATAATAATTAATGGAATCAAGTTGTTTTGATTTATCCATAACATCTAGAATGAGAAGATCAGAACTGTTACACAGATCAGTTCTAAGACAGGTTTCAAATCTTGAATTCTTTCTCACAAAGACAGCAACTCTAGGTCTCACAGTTCTATTTTCTGGAAGAATGCAATCATAAGCACTGTGAGTAACAGTGTAGCTGTAGTCTTTACTGATCCATGGTTCTTGAAACAATACATAATCAGTCTGAGTTGAGCAAGCAATATTCAAACAAGTGTGCATTGAGATGTCTTTTCTGCCAACATTATTTTGCAGAAATGTTATCTGAGAAGAGTGTTGTGTTTCTAACATTTAGCAATAGTGGTGGGAACAACTCTCTTTCTAATACTCATCTGAGCTAATTCATCTTCAGAATCAGTCTCATGTATTCTTTTGGCAATTGATCTGGATTTTGCATTTGTAACAGTTTGAAAGTCAGATTCAGATTCAGAATCAGTCATTCTTGTATCTGTTGTTTGAGTCTCAGTTGTTTTTCTCCAAGCAAAGAAAGAAGAAGAAGTTGACTTGACAGCTGATCTTCTGTAGAAACAGCAAACATGACTGTTTACAACATGATTTTCACCACAATTTGCACACTTGATTTCAGCATGATCACACACTTTGCCAATCATATCACAAGTCTTATATTTATGTGACTGTTTGCTGTGATTCTTTGCATACAATCCACATCTGGTTTCTCTCCTCCAGTTTAGGGAGATGTGATCATAGAGTTGACAGTTAAAACACTGAATTGTTGTTTTATATCTTGATTGTGACTGAGCTTTTTTAAATGGAACAACTTACATTGTCTGACCAGCAATGTTAACTGATTTCAGAGTCTTGACAAGTTCTGTTGATTCCACATGAAAGATAGCTGAAGCATGCTTTTTATTGGCTCTGTTTTCTGCTGAAGAGAGCCATTGAGAAAGTTTTTTTAAAGAAACTGAATTGAAAGTTTCAAATTCTTCTTTTAGAAGATCAAGATCATTGTCATTGTTGAAAATCTCAGTAGAAATTCCATGAACAACAAATACTTCTCAATGTTCATCTTTATGATATTTTGACTGAGAAAAATCAAAGTCACAGTCAGTCAATACATCAGAAAGAGCAGATTGCCAGATTTTATCATGTTCTTGAAGAAATTCTGCAGAAAATTGATCTGTTGTGATCAGAATCACTGAAAGTCTCTTAAAAGATTTGACAACTGAGAAGACCACTGGTTTTTCAGTAATTTTAGCATTCACAAAGACATCATTGATTCTGTTTCTGATAAAGTAGACCTTATTTTGAATTCTTTCAGCAATTTCAGAATTGACTCTAAAAATCAGTCTGTTTTCTCTTGGATTTCTCAAACCAGACTTTGATTTCCCAGTCTCAGAAGTACAAGTTGAAGAGGAAGAGACTGTTGACTGTTTTTGTAGATTTTGCTTAACAGCTTCAGAGTAACTGAATTTACATCCAGCACTTGATTTCTCTGAAATTGTATTCACAGTCACAGAAGACAGAGAAGACACAGAAGAGATGGAATTTGAAGAAGAAACTGAAGATTCTGAACTTCTAGACAGACTTTCCAACTTTTTGAGTCTCTTTTCCAAAAGATTCAGCTTTTCATTGTCATTTTCAAACTGAAAACAGGAGATATCTTTTTCCTTTTGAAAGAAGAGAATCTTTTGAAGACTGAGAATGCAAGAGTTTAATTCTTTTTGAACAAGAACATGATTTTCTTTCTGACATTCTTGTGCAAGAACTTTGAGAACTGATTTAAGTTCTTGTTCAGAATTCAGAGAGAGAGAAGTGAAGATAGAGGACATTTTGATTTGTTTCAGTTGGGAACTTATCTAGAGAGATTTTGTCCTTCCAGAATAGAAATCTCCCAAAAACTAATCCCAGTTTTTCAAGAGAACAGGGAAACTAAGACTAAGTTTTGGCAGAAATCAGTCAAGAAAAAGCCAAAGTTTTCAAAATTCCCTGAACAAAAATACCAGTAATAGATGGTGCGTTCCTGAACTATTAGAGCAGTTTATTTTAAGATTACTCTGAAACTGGGGGAAATGGTGCAAGATAACAAAAGAAAACTTGTGAAGCCAGATGAGTAGATGTACTTGGATAAGAGAATCCACTAACAATTTTTCAAGAGAATTGTCAAACTGAAAGTCTTTTTGATAGAGAAGACTTAAGTAAACCACTTGTAATCTCAGTTCAATATATCAACTAGCCTCACACTTCAAGAGTGTAACTTTAGTCCCTATATCTTATGTTGATTACAGAAAATGAATGACTTATGTGCTGTTTCTGTCTATCTGAGAAGTTAAGTTCAGGAAAAAACCTCTTCTTGTCTTTCTGAAGAGTGACAAGCAACTTTATCAGAATCTCAGAACCACTATTTAAGATTCAAGATAACTCAGTTCTTTTTCAATCTCAGATTACAATTCTAATTCTTCTTTGCAAGACACTAATGTATCTCAAGACAAAGTCAAATTCCAACTGCAGAAGAACTGAAAGAAACTGTTATTATTATTATTATTATTATTCATTATTTTTCATAGACTCTTATGGAGTCATAGACTATGAAGAGCCACTCTTTCTAATCTGACTTAGTTACAGCATGTGTTATTCTTGATATCTGGACTCCCACCACTTCATTCCATTTAAGTCTCAAACTGTAGCATGTCCAGGGGGGGCCAAGATTTCTTATTTGACTTTTCACCAAATTCTTCTCTCAGATCATACCCCCTAGGGAAATCCTCACAAAACCTAGGGTGTAGCTGGTATATCTAAACATGACATGAACCAATAGAAAATCAGAACAAGGTGTATAAGATCACACTAAGACTGACAAGCCCAGTCTATTAACTTAATCTAGCATATGCTTATGTAACCCCATACCACCACTCTAAACTTTCCTAGTTCCCAGCAGCCAATAACCTTGTCTCCTAGGGAGAACCCTCTCCACCCAGAGAAGAGGCTTCTCTGTTGGTAAAATACCATTTGGGGATAGCAGGATTTGAACCTGTGACCTTCTTTTCCAGATGGTTGTTCCCCAAAAACAACAAACCATGCCAGAAGGATTCCTGCAGATGTTTACCAACTACACCATACACTCTTCCCAAAGAAACTGTTATGATATGCAAGGAAAAAGTCTTCTTCTTTGCTAGAAAATCAACAAGTCTAGTATGATTATTCTAACTATAAAAGAGTAATTTTAACCATCACTAGCTGATGGATGCAGAGATCAGTGACTGAGAGAGTCTATGTCTTTGGGACAAATAAGAAAGAGAGAAGAGTTGTTTTGTTTGAGTTATGATTGAATTTATCTTTGCTGACTCCAACTGGCAAATGGTTTTGACTTTTTGGAACTGAAAATCAGGGCTGGAGGAAATTGATAGAATATCAGAGAGATAGAGAATTGATCAGAAAATCAGAGATATCAAACTGAATTTAAAAAGATTTTATTTTAACTAAGTTGTGATTAAATTTCTATATTCTCCTGAAATTTTTGCTGTGTTCTGCAGTTGTATCACTTTGATGAAGTATAATAGAGTTTGATGAAATAATTATATAAGTTCAGACTTCAATTCAGCTTTGATGTTGCTCATTAAAACTTAGTAAGTCAGAAACATTAAAACTTTTCACTGTAAGAGACTAATAAAGAGTCATTAAAACTGAGTGAATTCTTAATAAATTTAATAATGTAAGTATTTTTCTCTTGAGTATAGATTCTTTGTTGCAAATGCAATCAATTTTCAATGTTTCAGAACTGTAGTGAATGTGATTGTGTTGTGATGATCAGACAAAGTGTCTGAGTAGTTAAAACTGATGATTCAGTCTTTGATGTGAGATTTTTCATCCACCACAGTGAATTTTCAGATGAAAATGAAGAGAATAACTAAGTGAAACAAGAGCTTTTCAATGACTATATTTTCATTGAATTTGACTTAGAATTGATGGTGTTCCATGATCATTGACCTTATCTGTGGCCTTATCCCACAATGAAGATGGCAACTTTCAGCTTATCCCGCCCAGTCTGATAGCAAGGCAAAGCTATTACCACCAATAGACTATTGTACAACAATTAAGATGAGACAATTGTATATATTACTTAAAGAACTGACTTGATGTAGAATTATACATGTCAAAGCTTTTTAAGAAGCATGGAAACAAAGGAGGAAAGATCTTTTAAACAAATATTCATGCAAAGATTGTTTAGCCTTCGGCATTGTACTTCAACTTTTCTTTCCAATACCCATGCCCTCCCCAATATCAAAATCACTGGAAAGCCAATGAGATCTGCATCCCTCATTTTCCAAGCAAAATCCTTCTGTCGGTCATCTATAATAGGGTCAATTGACTCCGAATGGGTCGAAATAATAGTGTCGTACACCAACTCGGCATCATTTTGTAGGCCGATGGCAAAAATGATGCAAACAGAAAAAGGAGCAATAACTTGGGGCCAGTTGAGGCCTTTGGAGTCCGCAAGTGCAAAAGCAACTGCAGAAATCATACGCGATATCCCAATTCCATAACAGCCCATCTCAAGAGGAACGACTGTCTTCATCGTAGCATTGGAATTTGAAGGGCGTGTAGCAATAGTTGCGTTCAGAGGAACACTGTATCTTGTTCCCAGATAAAAGGTATGCCCTAATTCAACAGCAGCATGAGTTTGAAGTGTATGTTGTTCGCACTTATGACATCTATCGCCAGGCTGAATGCTTATCAAGTCAAGGCAGCTTTCAGTACCTTGGTCCTTACTTAAGCAAGAGAAGGTCACCTGGAGTTCCGTGGGCGATTTGCTGTCAAATCGCTCATCTAAAGGTGGTGGACTGTTGAATGGTTGCACGCGGTAATCATAGACATCTAAAACATTTGGTTGCTTAGTTTTGGCCTGCTCCACAAGGCATTTCCACACTTGAAATGGATTCTTCACACTTAGGTCAATATCAATTCCGACACGCATTGCAATTGACCGAATGGCGTGAGGATTGACCACTCTTTCACTGGCGTCTACAGCATTGGCGTCTGTCAGAAACTTTGGATAGTAGGCTCGGATCAATGTGTTTTCGTCCTTTGAAATGCAATTCCATACCCCAGTAGATATTGCGAAGGCTTCCTGCGGGCCAAATGCACCAGGGATATAATCGGGCTCTTGTAAACCAAAACAGCCTGTCCTTTGTTCAGTCAGGTGTTCAGCGAAGCGACCATCAGCCAGCTCTTCATTGAAAACATGGTTGCAGTTTGTGCAGCTGATCAATGTATCTTCACCATGCAAGCTTGGAAAATGGAATTCATGGCTAACACCCCCCCCCATATTGCCAGAGTCAGCAGCAGCAACCATGTAGGGAAGTTTCAGTTCCGCAAAAAACTGCATGTAAGCTTCTTTAACTAAATGGTAAGTCCTCATGGCGTCTACCACACTACAATCAAATGTATAAAGATCCTTCATTAAAAATTCTCTTCCACGGAGCAATCCCTGGCGAGGCCTAGGTTCGTCTCTATATTTTCTTGCTGCGGGTTCAGTAAAAAATGTTAGGTTTAGTACGCAATATGCTGCCTGTATTGAAAACTCACAGATTTGATACACTCGCAAGGGTAGATCTTTGTAAGATTTGACCAAGGTACCCACGAGTATAGTCATCTCTTCTTCATGCGTAGGAGCAAGGAGAAGAGGAGTTCCCTTGCGGTCTTCAAACCGGAATACCTACACAACAAATGAACAAGTAACCAATAAGCAATACAACATAAATACCTCGGAATCAGCATTCAGCCTTCCTGATTTCACCCATAGTGCCTGTGAAGAGACAGAAGATAATGACAGTTTAGAAGCACCTATTACTGACAGTTAGTTCATACAGTAAACAACCAAGAGAGTTGTATACCTAATGATTGCATGTGTTTATCTATGAGAAGCTCTAGCTTTTGTTGAACACGAAGGCCAAGAGGCAGTAGATGAAATATTCCCGAGTAGGCCTACTGTAGTATTAAGCATGGGGAACAGTAGCTTGTTGCCAACATCAAACCTGTCGAAGAAAGCCGGCCCTCAACAAGAGCTCATTCCCATCTGCTATTTATCAGCGCTATTTCCATACAAGAGATAAATAGATTGAGTATTCGGTATACCTTCATCCTCTCCCTTTTGAGCAATGCCACCAGTCGGGACCCAAAAAGCTGATAATCTTCTCCTGTCACCATTCTAAATTCGGTATCTTGTTAGATATATCCTTGTATTTTATGAAGAGGGCATGTTTTTCCATACATGAAATTGTGCTAGGCCTCGATTGGACTGGCTCGGAGTGGCGCGGTTCCATTTACAAAACAAGCAACCGGCTCTAGGCCGGAAAGAAAGAAACATCGACACACCTGATCAAAAGACAAGACGGATAAGGAAGAAAGTCACCGAGTAGTACGGAGTAAGCATTTCTACTGGAAGGAAGAAGCCCAGGTTTGACTTGCAACGCATCCAACCCCTATTATCAGGTACCTTAGGTTAGGTAGGTACAACCATAGCGGAATTATATACGGAGTAAGTAGGTACGAATTAGGTACCCACCTGACTGAGATGCCGCGCTAGCTGTATTCGGCTGGTGACTGCTTGTTGAGCAGGAGTCAGGTGACTTGTCAGGTGACCAGGTCCCCGAAGGAGGAACTGGAGAACCGTAGGTTCGCCACCTCCTCTTCTCAACCATGGTACCAATTTCATTATCTTTGTCTATTGGGTTGGTGGAGGTTTGCTAGGGGTTTTTCATATGTTTTTCCAATAGCCTCAGTTATATCATGTTCATCTATAAGTATCCTTGTCTTGTTTGTTAGGAGCAGACCAGATGCAATATTATAGACACTCAGTCACATGATCATCACATGCTTCTGTGTCATTCAATAGTTATGAGCCCAGACTCTTTCAAGGATTTGGTTATTATCTAAAGATACATTCAAGATACTTTATTTTACTCTTGTTATTCATATAAATAGAGATCACTATTAAGTATCTTGAGATCATACATTGAACTCTCTATTTAAGCTTAAATCTTAATTGCAGAGTTATTATTATTATTATTATTATTCATTATAGTCTTGTGCAGTCTGAGACTATGAAGACTATCTGCAAGCTGTCTTGCAGAATTTAACTAAGTTACAAAAACAATGATCAGAGACATGATCATAGACAAATTAATAAATGAAAAACATACAAGAGTGTCAGGGCAGTGATTTATGTCTTTTCTTCACAGAAATTTAAAAATAAAGAATGAGATTGTAAGTGAGATCTTTAAAGATACTCAGTCTGTTTCATTTAGAAGTCATCTTCTGATGACTATTTCAGTTTGTTTGAGAAACTTTCCCATTCATTTCAAATTCAATTCAGTGTTAAATAGAAACTCAAGTGAGAGTTGTGGAATTTTAAACTCTTTCAAACACTGTTGTCTATTATTTTTTAGACTTAAATAATTCATGAGTAAATGTTTTGATGTTTCTTTACAGTCACAGTGTCTGCATGTTTCTCTATCATGATTTGATAGTCTTATTAAGTAAGAACCAAAGTAACCATGACCCAATTTTAATTAAATAATTGTTGACCAAATCTGTTTGGGAAATAGAAGTGAACAAGCTTTTCACTTTGATTTTGAATTGAATTGAGAGTAGTGATTTACATCACTTTCATTTTCAAAAATGTGTTTCAGTCATTCAAGCATTGTCATTTCTTTAATTTGTCTCTTGATGTAAGCAAAAGAAACATACTTTTCAGCACAATCTTGTCTCAATTCAGTTGCTTTCTTTGCAGCAATATCAGCTTCTTCATTGCCAAAGATGCTCATGTGAGCTGAAATCCAGTGAAGATGACACTTAATGTCTTTAGACTTAAGTTGTTTAGCAATTTTTCTAATTGATTCAATGTAGAACAGTTCAGCTTTCATATTCTGTGCATTAAGTCTCTGAATGGCAGCTTGACTGTCAGAAAACATCCATAGTTCTGAAAAGATTCTTGAATTTGAAAGGGTCAAAGCATTGGAGAAAGCCTTTTCAATTGCAAAGAGTTCAGCATCAAACACTTCCATATGTTTGCTCAATTTTCAAGAAAATCTTTGATTTATTTCTGAAATATAAAGACCTGCATCAGTAGTCAGATTTTCTGACTGTGATTCATCTGAATACATGGTTAAAGAGTCTTTCAAATTGAGAAGAAGTTGTTGATGATTTTTCTTTACAAGTATCTTCTGTGCTGAATCAATTTAAATGTCAATGATTTCATTCAGACTTGAACTTCAAGGTTTATTCCATTCTGGATTTACTGTTTCAATCTTCAGAGAAGGAATCTGATCTGAGATCATAAAATATAGTTTAAACAAGTGACTTGGATATTTCTTAATTCTTTTTGTTCTTTTTCTCTTTCTTTTTCCAGGTGTTTGTTCAACATGATCCAGAGTCAACTCATTTTGATTCCAGTCCAGAAACTTTCTCC